AGGAGAGCTCCTTAAAGCAGTCAGGAGGAGGAGAGCTCCTTAAAGCAATCAGGAGGAGGAGAGCTCCTTAAAGCAATCAGGAGGAGGAGAGCTCCTTAAAGCAGTCAGGAGGCCTGAACCAGGCACCTCCTGCAGGTTTATAAAGCTGGGAGCTCCACACTGAAGACATTTCTGAGCTGATGAAACCTCCTGGAGGAGAACCATCTTCAGCTTCAGAACAGAAGTCCAGTTATTGAAGTATTTAACTCTTTTTAGACGATGAAGGATGGATGTGGTTATCATGACACTCTCTTTAGCCAGTGTACTCCCAGGAACCTGTCTGCCTGCCTGACAGAGAGACAGACAGGTCCACAGAAGCTGACCTCCTGTCTTTCTTCTATGTTGAATAATAATCCCTTCAGTTCTCTTCCTGGGTCTCTCCATCACAGATTAACCTTTCTCTTCTTCTCTCTGCTCCTCTGTCTTCCTCCGTCTACCGTCCACCCCCTGTCCTTTGTCCTCCCTTCTTCTCCTTCTCCCCTCTGTCTTCCTCTGTCCTCCCTTCTTCTCCTCCCCCCTCTGCAGCAAATTTATTCATGTGAAAGTTATTGACGATGAGGAGTATGAAAAGAACAAGAACTTCTTCATGGAGCTGGCGGAACCTCGGATGGTAGACATGAGTCTGCAGAAAGGTGCAGTACTTTGATCTTTCTTTCTTTCTGACTCGTGTGTTGATCACCTGCTTCAGTCCTGTCTCCTCCCTCAGAGCACTTTGCCTCCTCTGCTCCACTGAGAGAGAGAAGAGGAGAGTCAACATATCTGGTTGGCAGGCCTCAGACTGACAAAGTCCTCTGGATGGGGGATGAAAAATTTCTCACTTAAAGAAACAGGTCCAGATGACATGATTTAACTATTTTTGTTGTTCTAAAAAAGTTAAATCTGGTCCTCTGGACATTAAAAAAAAAACAAAGCAAATCAACAAAAAAATGTAGAGGAGGGGGCACCCAGATCTTTTTGTTGATTTGCTTTTTTTTTTTTTTTTGAATGTCCAGAGGACCAGATTTAACTTTTTTAGATTTTTCTACCTGGATTATTGAGCATGCATCAGGATATTTTTGTTGTTATTTACCTGGATGATTGAGCTTACAAACTTTTTTTTTTTTTGTAGGAAGGATGGTTTTAATTTTCTCTCTAATTTAAATAATTTTATTTATAAAGAATCTCATGAACTCATCACTGCTTGTAGTTGTAGGGAACTTGGCTCAATAGACGTAGTACTTTTCATTAGTTTAGCTATAGTACTTAACAGAAACCTGGGTTTATTTTTATTCTCATTTATTAGAGATGAATAATATACAGTTCTAACTTTACGGAGAGCTTTCTTATATGTCAGCAGACCATCTCTCCAAGTTAAGTAAAATTGTTCAATGTTAGTGGAGCGCCATTTTCTTTCCAGCTTTCTAGATGCCCGTTTTTAAAGTATGTAACAGAATTGAACCAAGGAGCCAGTCTCCTCTGATTGATTACTTTCTTTCAGTGGAGCAGTTTTAGCAAGTGAAGTTTGCAAAGAAGTTGTAAATTTATCAACCAGATGATCTAAATCGCTGCTCTCTGATGTATTACTCTGCAAGACAGAGGTAAATAACAATGGAAGAGATTGTTTAAATTTGGTTACAGCATTTTCTGACTAAAAACATGCTAAAATGGAATTTACTCTGAGTGGTTTGTAAACGCCAAAGGTTATTAAAAATGGTCAGACAGAACAGGATTTTGAGGATGTATTAATAAATACTTCATCTCTATGCCTATACTTAATTGTTATCCCCAAAACACACTCCAGTTATCTACGTGTATTGATGTACATGTATTATTGTAACAGTAATGGGAGTGCAGACACTGCTGACAATAATTTATACGACAGCCTTCCTCTTACTTCAGTAAATGTAGAATGTAATGATTTTTTTGATTTAGTTAACAAATGTTTGAACTTTATATGATGAGCACTTAATGAAAAAGCTGTTTGCACAGCATCATATTTTATGAATGTGCTGATAAAATCGCCTGGCTCTTTGTTGGATCAGAAGACGATACTTTCTGTTTCCACTGAAGCTGTAACAGGAGCAGGTTTTACACCTCACCATGAATCATGTGATCAGTTCGGGCTTTTCCTGTATAATGCAGCAATTATCTTGTTCAAAGCCGCTGATCTGCAGCTGATTGGCTTTGTTTCTGTCCTTATTAAAGCCCGAGAAGAGAAGCAGAAGTAATGAATATTCCATGAGAGGCTTCATATTAAGCTACCTCGCTCCATTTTCTCCTTCAGCAGGCTGCTCTGTCATAACAAGCGTCTTAACTTCTGATCGTGTAGCCATTATTTCTTTAAAGAGACGATCAAGCAGGCCAGAAAAACTAGTTATCACATCTCATTTCAGTGCTCTGATCTGTCTCTGATTTATTTCTGGCGGTTACATCAGTCCTTGCAGCTTTTCTTGATTTCTCCTGTCTGAGCTGTTGAGAGCATGAGAGCAGGTTCTGGCAGGTGTGATGGAGGTCCAGGCTGGCAGCTCTGCCTCTGAACCATGTGTGAGTAATGAAAGCAATCAAGGCAGCAGTGACACTGACCTGTCAGGCTGAAGATGTTTACTGCCAGCTCCAGCTCTGCCCTTCTCCACCGGCTGCTGAAGTGCTCAATCCGATTAGCACCTGTGCTCAGGTGGCCATCAGAGCTGAGAGACACCTGCTGCAGGAAGCTGCTGGACATCACTCCCTTCATGTGGTGGAGGTGAATGTGGTGGCAGGACTGTGAAATATCTGTTTAAAGTACTCACTGATGCAGGAGGGCAGTTGTCCTGATGTATAGTCTCATTACACATACCTGAACCATGTGAGAAGTCTCGGTAAAGTGGGATTATTTATAGTGAGCTATGACTCCATCAGTTATTACCAGATGATCTTTGTTTAAAGCTCTGGTTTGAAAGGTGAAAAAGGACTGTAAGCATTAATTCATAGAATGTACAAGTATTATCAAAAGATGTTTAACCTGTTAAAATTATTTTACAAATTTTACCCTTGGGTCCCAAAATGATCTCTCCTAAAAATTGAATATAAATCTAATATATGAATATTTTTTACTTTCAACACATTAAATGCTATCAACAACTTCTGACAGAACTGAAGAAATAAAAGTTGTTGTTTTTTATTAGATGTTTTATGTTTTTATGGCCTTTTTGTCATAGAAACCCTTAATTCTTTAACTGGAAAAACACAAAATATGCAATATTTTACAAACCCGAAAGATTATTAAGAGATTATTAAGAGATTATTACAGCCTTGACCAGATCAGTAATTATCAACATTGATTTTGAGGTGCTGATATTTTTTGTAGCAGTAAGAGATTTTTTATTTTTCAAATGTCACAGATCCAAAAGTTCACAATTAATGACATAAACCATATATTTTTCAAGATTAAACAAAAATGTAAATGTAATTACAATCAACCAAACCAACACACCAACCAATCAATCAATCAACCAACATACCCACCAACCAGCCAACCAACTAACCGACCAGCCAAACTAACCAACACCAACTAATGAACAAACCAATCAACCAATGAACAAACAAACTAATGGACCAACCACATATTGTTTTGTAACAATCGTACGAGTTTAGGTGAAATCCCTCTTTGGCTACACAACTGAAGGATGACTCAGAGCGACATGTGACCCGAGTGGACCAACCCAAAGGAGAAACTCTGTCCATGGTCCCATTAAAAGACGTTTAAACCTTATGAATGATACGACGGAAGACATTTATGAATTTGACACTGATGTTTTAACAGCATAGTATGTCTCAGAGTTGGTAAGTGACCCACACTTATCTCACACAAACACAGAGACACACTATGGGTGTTGTGTGATGATGAATCCTGTTGATCAGAGGACTGATGGGTAAAGAGCAGTGTGTTGACCTTGAAATGACACAGCTGATCTACAAAGCTGAGCCCGACAGCGGCGTCACTCAGGAGCGTGTGTTTGGGTTTGTGACATCCAGTGTGTAGAACTGAAAGAACCCCTAAAGCAAATGTCATTGCAGTGTTGAGTGTGTTTGTGTGCTTTAGATGGAAGTGTGTGTGTGCAGATTAATATCACTCTCCCTGCAGAAATCCATCTCCTGTTCCAACTCTTTCCATTCCACTCCTCTGAGCCGCGGGGAGTTCTGCCCCATCAGCCTCCTTGCTCAGAGGGAGTTCTTCACATGCTGCTGTCTGAGATCCATGGTGCTCACTTCTTTAACACATTTACTCCATCCAGACGAGCCATGAGAACTATTAGGAAGGAATGCTGCAAACAAACCAACATCAGGGTGGATAAGGTTTTAAATTAAGACCAAGTATTCCTTGAAGGAATGGCCGCCCAGTTTAAACTGAAATAATTTTTGTTGAGAAATAAACCGTTGCTCTGAATCTGAGAACGTAACTCGGCAGCCATCTTGAATTATGTTGACTCCAAAAGTTGATGAGTTATGTACTTGTAGTCAACTCTGAGAGGTCCTTTGAAATCTGTGCGGTGGTTTGAGATGTTTGGCAGACAGACAGGATTATCGCCAACATTTACTGTCAAGGTTTTAGGCAATATGTTGCTGTCAACCTATGGGTTGGAGACGATGCTCAGCTACTACGACAGGTAGAGGTGGAGACATTTTGTATTTTGTAACGTCTAAACCAATCTTTATTTGGCCTGAGTCTAAAGGTTCATGAGTTGATCTGTGCTTTTGCAGTTTTTTGTTAAGATTGATATTCAGAGTAATTTTTTTTCATGATGTTCAGTTTCTGGATTTTCTTCGTGCTCAGTTCTTTCAGGGCGTCCTTGTGTTGTCCCTGGGCTGTCAGTCTATTTCTCCAGTACTTTTCCCACAGTCAGTTGACCACGCCCACTTCCACCTGCTTCCTGTTGTTTCAGTCACAGGTGCAGCCTCTCTTCTCATCAGTCCTTTTAGTCCCCGAGCTTTACCTCGCTCTTCAGTTGAGCATTGTGTGTTCTTACAACATGTCCGGTCCTCCTTGTGCCTCCTTGTCCTCGGTTTGTGTAAGGTTTTTTGCTGCCACGTCAGCCTTTCTGCTACTTTTATTTATTTACTGTTTACATTGATTTTATCGTGACAGAACAACAAAATCTGAAGAAATTTGACATTTGAGAAACTGTAGCACAAATGTTTTGAACATGTTTAAACCTCCAGCGACAGGACAGGGCACCTCTGGAACTCAGAGCTGGACATTGAGGACACAACAGAAAACTGGTGAGACACTCTGGAGACATTTGAAGCGTCCCACACCAAACTGTAGCCTCGTCAGATGACGGCTTTCCTCCAGTTCAGCGTCTCAGACGTGTTCAGTAATCTGGGCTTGGTTAGCAGGAGCCTAATTGGGTGGCATGAAATCTATTAGCTGCTTAATTGGACTGAGATAAAGACTCACTCGTCTTATTATCAGACCTGCTAAAAGCATTACAGATGGACCTGAGGACTGAGGAGGTGCTGACTGGTCAGAGTCGAGTTCCTCAATGATTTTAACCTCACTTTTATAAATAAATACATAAATAAAAACTGAATTGCACTGGACATGTACTGAAATCTACAATAAGACTGGACAAGTTGTCCAATAACTAGACAACAGAAAAACTAGCTGGAAGCT